ATTTACACACCATCTCAAAGCTGAATAAATAAGCTTTTTATTGATGTATGGTTTGTTATGATAGGACAATATTTGGCCGAGATACAACTATTTGAAAATCTGGAATCTGAGGGTGCAAAAAAATCTAAATATTGAGAAAATCGCCTTTAAAGTTGTCCAAATGAAGTCCTTAGCGATGCATATTACTAATCAAAAATTAGGTTTTGATATATTTACAGATATATTTTAATATATCAACTTTTGAACAATACTTTAGTTTTATCAGTTTGAATCAGAGTAGCGACTCGCTGCAAACAGATGATTCTTTTGAACCAGTTCTTTTAAATGAACTGGTTAAAAACCCAGTCTGGATCATTTTGAATCCGTCTAACAAGTCACTGACTAAATTAATCAGTTATTCTGAACACTTATTAAGTAAAATGTACCATTACTACCCCTTTACAAGGGTGTATAAAGACAAGCCAGGTTGCATGAGGTGAATCTGAACAGACTGTGTGTGAAAATTACCTACAGAAATTAATTCAAGTCACTGTATAATTCACAAACACGTGAAAATCCGTGAAAGCACGCATGCTTTCAAGTGTCAAAACAGTTCATCACAGTTCATTCAAACGAAAAAAAAAAACATGAAATAGAAAGGTGCTACTTTTGCGAGCTGATGGAATGTGTGAGGACGTGAAGTTCATGTCACTTCTCTGTTTCCTCACTTCTGCATAGACATTGACATTCTGTTCACAAGCTTACATCAGTGGTTCACATCACACTGAGTCATGTCACACTATTTTTCCCAACTAGTATGCTGACAGAAAGACTTTTGGGGTGAAGATTATGTAGTAGATTGTATTAAGCTGATGAAAACATACAAACCGAAACAAACAGCCAGGACTGTGCTTTGCTGTTGGTCGATTTAACTGAGTATTTAGGAAAGTGGTGTTCAGGAACGCTGTTTGGGGGCGGAATGCACCTGTGTGCTGACGGAGGTAGAACAGGGACATTATTCCAGACGTGGCTGACAGCCACAGCTGCCTTCCAGATGTTTATACATTATACAACTACATAAATGAAGTATCTGCTCCAATTAACCACAGTTTGCCATTGTCATTTGTAGTTTCAGAGGATTCTAGCTTTTTTTTATCACCCCCATATGCACTTTCTCCCCCTGACCCTTTCTGCCTATGTCTTTCTGCATATACAAGAGCAGCAATTGAACTGAACACATTTAAAGGAATAGTGTAGTCAAAAATGAAAACTGTGTAGTTGTTTTGCCCATGGACCACTAACCATGACATGAGGGTGAGTAAATAATGACAGAATTTTATTTCTGGCTGAACTATTCCTTTAATAAAACACCAGAGACCAAGCCTTTGGAGAAGCAGAGAGAGGACAGCTCATATCACCGCTAACTGGGAATGTCCATGGCAGGGATTGTGTGCATGTCCAAGCATGTGAAATTACAGCCCCCTCTCCCTTCACCCGTCTCCGTGACCCACCTGAACTTGGCCTGATCTACTCCCATACCAACAGAAAAGCCCCACATCCTCATTAAAAACCGCTGGAGGCTACAGACGATGAATAGGGGCACTGGATCTATTAAATCCCTGTAACAGTTCCTTTTTAGCTCTTCAGATTCCCAGCACTCCCGGCATGCTTAGCAGTGAAAGACGATGTGCTAAGCTAATGCTCTCGCCGCCGCAAAGCAGCTTTGACTGTAATCAGGGAATACAATATGTCAGCCTTTTAAACACCATGTATGTAAGCCACTGAGAGCAAATATGAAAATACGTGAACTGGCAATTTTATCCGAACTGAGGTGTTTCTGTGTTCATAAAACTCAGTATCGTACCGTCCTGTCTAATCTTCCTCTACCACTGACCTTAACGAAATACATTAAGAGACTGATGACCATAAAGACGATGTGTCATCAAATATCTTCATTCCTTTTACTGCAGATGTCAGCCTGTGTCTTTATCAGGATGCTCAATGTATTACTAACATTTGAAATATCTCCTTTCATTGCAATAGCCTTGCATAGACAAAAACGGACTTACATTAAGCTTGTGATGTTCACCAAGTATTGTTCAAAGGATCTTCTCTGAGGACACAGAGCAAATGAGAATACGGTGGTAACAGTGTTCTTTCAATTATTCATTATCAGATACGTTTCACATAGTCTAAGCAATTAGTTTTACAAATAATAGCACTAAATTAAATTAAAACAAAGTGCTTTTCTGTTTCATATGCTTAGAGAATACAAGATCTGAAGCCACTTGTTTATAAAGAAGTACCGCTCAACAAGCGCACAAAGTCATCCCTGTGAATTGATGAAACCATTTTTAAGAAGACTGAACATGCTGTCTGAAAAGCAAGACCTGGAAACGTGCCACTTTGAAGCAATCAACGATGTGCCACTGTAACTGCAAATTTACAAAATGGACTCTTTAATAATGGTGCTAGAAAAACACTGTTCAAGTTATTAAGTCGTTTTTGTGGTTAGCAGTATTATCAACACCTCATAGCACTGTATGAGTAATTTTACACAGCGTGCTACAAGCTATAAATTATAGTGTACAGAAAAAAAACTCTGTGTGACACACACATGCAGAGCTAAAAAATAAAATAAATGTTTCTTTTTTAATTTGAAGTACTAAAACTGAAATAAAATAAAGCTAAATATAAAACTAATAAAAATACTTTATTGTGTATTATTATATCTATTTTATTTAAAGCATATAACAAAATGACTAAAACTAAAAATATAATAAAAATATAAAAATTTAAAATTATAAAAACTGCTGAAATGTTCCCAAGTCCAGAGATGTAGCAAGGAGATCTGTAAAATAATCCATGTGACATCAGTGGTTCATCCGCGATTATACGAAGCTACGAGAATTAATTACTCCCCCTCATGTCGTTTCAAACCCGTAAGACCTTTGTTCATCTTCGGAACACAAATTAAGATATTTTTGATGGAATCTGAGAGCTGTCTGACCCTGCATAGACAGCAATACAACTGAAATGTTCCCAAGTTCAGAAACGTAGCAAGGAGATCTGTAAAATAATCCATGTGACATCAGTGGTTCATCCGCGATTATACGAAGCTACGAGAATTAATTACTCCCCCTCATGTCGTTTCAAACCCGTAAGACCTTTGTTCATCTTCGGAACACAAATTAAGATATTTTTGATGGAATCTGAGAGCTGTCTGACCCTGCATAGACAGCAATACAACTGAAATGTTCCCAAGTTCAGAAACGTAGCAAGGAGATCTGTAAAATAATCCATGTGACATCAGGGGTTCAACTGTAATTTTACGAAGTAACGAAAATACTTTTTGTGCACAAAAGAAAGAAAAAAACGACTTTATTCAACAATTCGTCTCCGCCGCAGCTGACACAGAACAGCATACGTTGTTTACGTCCATCTGATACTCTCCAAAATGGCGCTACAGGGTGATGCGAAGGAGACGAATTGTTGAATAAAGTCGTTTTTTT